AGGAAAGAGCGCGGCTCTCCCTGCCCCGAGTGGAGCTGGGGGAGGAGGAAGCGTGGGAGGGGGTGAAGCGCCCTGGGCCCAGCCACAAAGAAGGGAAGGCGGCCAGGGGGAGAGGGGAGGGACACCGAGGAGGAGGAGAAGGGGGGGAGGAAGGGAGGGAAAAGCCCAGAGCAGCCCCACCTGGGGAGCCCCGTGCCGGGGCAGGCGCTTTGCTGAGCGCACCAAACTCCCAACCCGGAAAGCGAGAGCTGGGAGGAGGAGAAGGAGGAGGGAAAAAAAAAAAAGGCCTCACAAACCTGGGAAAAGCAAAGGAGGCTGCCGCCTACCTGTGGCTCCCCGCACTGGCGCCTCTGCCAGAGCCTCACCCTTCCCCGCCGCCTTGCAGCAAAGGTGGCGGCTGCACGTCCCGGCCCGGTTCTGGTCCCGGTCCCAGTCCCGTCCCCGTCCCTGTGCCCACGCTGCTCAACACAAACCCCGGCCCGGACCCCGCTGCCAACCCCTGAGCTCAGCCTCGTCCCCTGCTTCACTGCTGCCCAAGTGGGAGGTGTTACTCAGGCAGGGGAAGGAGACCTCAGCGTCAAGGGTCACAGTCCAAACGTCACCCCAGTACCTAGTTCTGGCATAGACTGACCTCTTAGTCCTCTCAGTCTCCTGCCCTTTGCCTCCCTAAGACAAAACTAGCGTGCACTTCACCGAGTTGGCTACCCCAAAGGACTATTTCCCATAAAATTAATTTAGTCCACCAGCAAATGGCGGCAGCGACTATTTGATTTTAACTGAAACTTTGTTCCTCGTTTTTCACCATTGCATGGTGAAAAACGAGGAACAAAGTCCCAGACTTGCAAAAGAAAAGTGGTCATATGGTGCCATTGCATCCCGTAGCCAACTCTCTTTGCCCTCTGCAGCTGCTGCTGCTGACTATATGTGGTGACTGTATGTGATGAAAGTAACAGAACCAGCTGGAGGAGGAAGGAGCCAGGGTGGATCCATTTGTCCTTCCTATGCCTCTTCAGGCACCATAATTTGAAACAAAGTGTTGTGAACTGTAGTAATTCTCCTGTGTAGTTTTAGCCTGAGTTACTTGAGGAAAACTTGAAGAAAACAATTCCACCAAGTAGTTTTTCCAAAGTTCCCTGGTGCCTTTAGGACTTTGAGAGGCACTGACAAGAGCACACACACAACTGAGTGGCACACACCAGAATTAACAAATACGAGTATTTCACATGATGCTCATAGGCCAAAATCACAAGAAACTTCTTCACGCACATTAAGCAAAAGAGGTTTATATCTTCAAGTTTTACCTTAAAAGGGCAGCACAATCTAGTGTTAAAGAGCAAAAACAACCTTCTCCGGACATCAGTCCAAACAAGTCACCCCTAGATAACTTCACAACTTGGAAAACTTCCTCTGGTTTTTTGTTTCAGATAGTAAAATTGAGTGCATATGTGCAATATTTGTAGAAACTGATGAGAGGGAATATGGTGCAATCAGGCTAAGTGGTGTTTAATCAGAGGTTAAACACATAAGGAATCCCAGGCAATAGTCTTGCGATAGGGAAGCTGTCAATATTGATTAACTGAGGATGGAGAGCAGTCGTTCTGTCACATTCTGCTTTTATTTGAGGACATAATGTCTTTCATTAGTTCTTAGACGTGTTTGTTGGGCATAATCATTTAATAAAAACTATAGCCAGTGCCCTGGGATATCTGAATTAAGAAAAGTGTAACTTTATATCTGTATGTATAAACTGTAGGAGCATTAAGGGGAAGTGCTAAGTAGACTAAAACACACCATGAAGAAAACAAGCAAAGAATACAGTTCAGGTGTCTGCTTATCTGCTGAGACTGAGGCTTACTATAAAACCATGTTTGGAAATACTCTTTTTTATTTGCCTGAAGCTTTAGTAATAGGTAGTTTTTTTAAAAAGGCTGAAATTAGAGTATTTGTGTCCAAGGGATAATTCTAGCTTAAAGTTACTTAAGCAGCACTTAAATGTATTCAAGATCCTCAGCTATTGTGAATTTGATTAATTTCAGTGGCCGTGGACCTATTTCACTGTCTCTTATGTTTGCAGACTGGAAAATGAACTGCTCTGACATCCTGACTACTTCTGGTAGGAATAATATCTCAGAAAAATAAGATATTTCCAACACTGACAGTTAAACCAAGATAGGAAATAAATCTGAATTGAAGAATGCACTGCTGTTATTGAAAAATCAAAATCTGATGTTTATTCTAAAACATTCTTTTTTCTCATTAGTTTGCTTGGGTCTATTTTTTGGGGACAGGATGTTATTGTATGGAATAATTAGGAAAACAGGTGTGAAAAATGTAAATACTGAATTATTATGAAATATGAATATTGGTCAATTGTAACCACTAAGTTTTGGCCTCAGACTTGGTTCCCTCTCATGCAAATGGACAGGGCTTAAGAAGGGAAAAGGAGATTATGGACCCTGCTACAGCTAGATATTTAGTGTGTTAAAAAAATGAAGTGTTTCACATTTAATGTGTTGAAATGAAGTATTGCACATTTCTAAATTCAGCAGAAACACCAACTTTCTTCTGGACACCGCCGGCTGCCTCCGCACTGTCAGCTTCAGGCAGCTCCCCCAAGAGATGCTCCTGTGTCACGGCCACGCTGGGGCCGCTTTTCCGTCGCGCTCCCGCTGCGGAGCCCCCTGTCCCGGTGAGGACGCAATGGAAAAGCAGCAGCAGGTTGTGCCCAGGGGCGAAGGGGCTGAAGTGGGGCCGGGGCAGCCGGTTTGCGCCGCGTTGCCGCTCTCCCCGCATCAGCGCCGTGGGCTGGGGCTGCGTGTGGGGACCAGGGAGCTGCGGGCTGCTGTGAGCTCCCTCACTAGCTGAGCGGGAGCAGGAGCCCTCGCCAAGGCAGCTCAGCATGGAGCCCGGGAATCAGGGTCTTATAACTCTCATAGCCTCAAATACCCTCTGTTGGGAATGGCAGATGTTCTCCGGAACCGGCTCTTGCAAACAGGAGATGCAAAGGAAGAGGATGGATGAAAGGACAGTGGAAACTTTGCCAAGATCTTCAATTCAATGTTGATTTCCATGCTCGCACTGGGAAGTTCACTGTGCCTGAATTATAGGTTACTTGCTTCAAGGTTGCTTTTGAGCCTCAAATTACCAAATTAAGCATGCAATAACCTTCATGTTCTATTTCAAGAAAGGGAAAACAAGTCTTGTGGAAGTTACTCACTGCCTTTTGCGGGTGTAATGCTGCCCTGCCCTCTCCTCACTTCTGCAATCCATTTGGCCGTCAGAAGCAGAGGGAGAACAGGGGTACAGCAAGTCACTGAGCCACCCACCAAGCATTACCCAGCAGCTCTTCCTGAAACCACAGGTACAAGCCAAGCAGGTGGTTCAGATGTGGTTGCCTGGGATCACCAGCTTCAGCTGAGCCTACAGGTTCAAACTATCCGACTATGTATGTTAGGAAGAAACAACTGCATTGCTGTTTGGACATACTCAGCAGTATGTTGGGGCTGGGCTTGTGTTCATTTTGTTGAGTTCTCAGTTCTCCCTGAGAACTACTAGTAGGCTCTGGTTTGTAATCCAGAAAGCGAGCTCAGGGTTCTGGGCACATGGGCAGCTTCTGCATTTTGGAGTCACTTTGGCCCTTGAGCTTTACAAGTTTGGTGTAGGCTTAAAATAGAGGCAATTCTGCAAGAGAAAGATGTTTTATGACATTTTATTCTTTCCTGGTTAACCAAAAGTATGTGGATGCTTCCATTCTTGTTGAAAGAGCCCAGTTTCTCAGTTATGATAGATTCTTGCCTTCAACAAAAAACTTTTCCAGACAAGCCTGAATAAGATGTGCAGAAAATGGGGAGTAAATCTGACTCCTTAACAAAATTCTGCTGAACTTTAAGTACATTCACATTTTATATTATTAGTACAAGGATCTGAGGAAGTCAACGTGAATGTTGCTGTTCATTTCAGTGGTGCCAGAGTTTTATCCATGTTCTTTCATAATCTGTCACTCAAGACTGCACACTTATTTTGTTGTATATAAATATGAGCAAATAATCAGTTACCACAGAAAAATGCTAGGTGTTTTACTACGTTTCCTTAAATCTACACACCAGCATCCTAGACTGAAGATCCCCTGTGGTTGATGATGCAGTAGAACTTCTGATTAACCCTTTTCTTCCAATTTGCCAATGCCAGTTACTGGTCTTCTTGTTTACTGGGATCCTTATCCAGCATAGCTCAGAAGGCTCCCTCCTTGTCCAAAAATGGAACTTGTATGTGTTCCTTTGAGACTAATAACAGATTTTTTTGAGCCGGTAGTAGACATTTCTCTGATATGGCTTACTTACAAAGTGCTATTTCTCTGAAAAGGGTGTCAGGGATGGTTTCAGACTTGTGTCAGTCCCAGGACCTCCCTTTCCGGCTTATTCCGGGATCATAGACCTGCTTGGAGCCTGGAGCTGAGCTCCCTTTCCTGCTTCCATCTGCAGTACTTCTGCTGTGTCCTCCCCTGTGCTACCTTCCCCACTGCGCAAAGCCAGCAATGTAACTCCAACACCTTCAACCCGCTCATCAGCAAATGTATTCCTACTTCCACAGTACAAGAGCTTAATATTTTCCTGAATGCTACTTTAAAAGAAGGGTAGTGGTTTTGTGCACCAGTTCCAGTGATTTTTCTGTCCCTGTTCTCCTCCCTCAATCCTAACATTAACTTAACTTGTTCTTCAAATCTGTCCAGCCTATGGTTTAGAACTTGGGGGGTTGTTCTGCCAGCTGGTCCCTGTGCTTTGCAGAGCTCCAGAGCTCTGCACATCTACACAAGTGCAAGAGTCAGCACTCTGTGTTCTGGCAGCTTAAAAATTCTCAACCCCGTTCTCATTTTTCTATCTTTACACAGCTATCTTTGTGGAAAAGCCATGTTAGGAATCGTGCAAGCAAACAACCAACATTACTGCAACAGGAACAATATCCTGAAGGAAGCAGTAGTTCTAATGGCCTCAGAGTAGGATTCAACAACAAAACCAGGCAGATCTCACAGCCTTTGCCACCAAAAGAAGGACTTTCCCGCTCCTGCTTCCTTTCCTCCGTTCTTGCTCGCAAGTGCATGGTCCAGGCCTGCTCTCACCCCTAGAAAATTCTGTGCCACGTCAGATCATTTGGTTAATACAGAAAGGGCCTAGTCTGTTACATTATTGAGCTGTCTGTGTTCGTTAGTAAGTTGAATCACCTTCATGAGAGATTTAACAAATGCCAGAGCTGGTGCAAGTAAAATTGTTGTAGGACGAGGTCAGGAGTGAGCAGGGGGAAACGGAGGAGCAGGGACACCACTCCCTGCTCAGATGCTTCTTTAAGCTGCATCCTATGAACAGAGAAGTGGAGTTGCTGGAAGAGTTCACATCTTTTAGCATTAAATGAACAATAGAATTTAAAAAAGGCTAGGCTTACCTTCAACGGATGAGACAAGCTGGTAGAGATAGATATATGACATGTAACCTATGCACTTCGTAGGCTTTTTGGCATGTAGCCTGTGAGATCTGCAGCAGAAGCTTACAGAAGCTTGTGTATTTTTTTTCTGGTTTAGCCACAGTAAGAGTTTTAATAACAAGAGTAAATTTTTTCATCTGAAACCATATATATTTCTCTTTTTTTTCATACTCTGATTTATATAAAATAGGATTTGAGTTATTCTTGAAAAAAATAAAAAAATCAAGCTTCTGCTTCTGGTTAGTACCTTCAATCTGTGCAGGTATCTGAGAGCTGAAAACAATGTTTCAGGGGTCTTCATCCCAAGCTGTGTTCCTCTCTAAGCGTGGTAGGGATGCTATGAAACACCGTAATAACTTCCGCTGAACAGACAAAAAGCTGATCATTAGAGGCAAGAGTGTGAAGATGGATGTAATAATACCAGTTTTGAAGAACATCTTTAAATCCTTGAGAAAATAACCTTGTGGATTTAGAAAAGAAGGCCTGTTTCTGAGTTCTGTAGCTGCTCGACAAGCACCTCGAGTTGCCAGCACAGAGCTGCTGCAGCTCTGCTGCATAAAGAGAGACTGCTGACCTGCTGTGAAGAAATTGCAGGAAAATCTGCTCTCGTTTTCTGCTCTTCAAGCCACAACAATATGCAGTATCATTCTCAGGGGAGCAGAATGGTGGGGAAAAAAACTAGGGTGTGAATAGAAAAGCATCTGGGAGATCATGGAGCCTATGAAAGCAGGAGTATAGCATTACACCCCCCTCAGAGCTCAAAGCCCACAGTGATGATTAGATATTTTTGATCCTTGTTTTCAACAGAACTACAGCACAAAGAGATGACAGACACTATGGTAGTGTGGGGCTCAGGGACAACTCGCCTCTGGACTCCAGTTCTTGGAAAATGGAAACAGCCCCAAGCTGAATCTGCCTATAGAGAAACCACGTTGCTGAGAGATTATCTCAATGGATGGGTAACATTATTCCTAGAGCTGCCATACCGATTTTCTTCATTTGGTTGCGGCTGAGCACTTTTGTGCTTTCCAACTGAGTTCTTCACTTCCTGTGTGGCAGAAGAAATTTCTGATATAAAGGAACTTCATCTTTTTTTTAACTGAGAAAGTGTTTAGGCTTCTGCCTCACAAGGACTTACAGTCATCTAAATACTAATATAAATATTAATTATTACTGACTTCCATAGCTACCAGTATGTATACAACAAATCACTGTAGGACAGGAATGTGAAAAGAAAAACTTCATCTGGAAAAACAAAGGCTGGAGTGATCACAGGCTGAAAATCAAACTCGACATATGGAGATATTATAAATGCTGAGCAAAGTCTTTTGTTGCTGTCCCTAGCTTTAATAAGAACAGTTTGTGTTGAAAGCTTTTGTAAATTCCATATGAAATTTTTATTTATCTAAGACTCTGACTACATTTATATCTTCTCTAATCATGTTATATGTGGTATATCTTGAAGTAATTATACAGTTTACATTTTGATTCATTAACTAAATACCTTAACTAAAAAAGAAATAAAGAAGTTCAAAACCAATTCAGTCAAACAATACTTGAACTTGCATTCTTTTAAATAGGCCTACAATTGGATTGTGTTCCTAAATGAATGGCTCAGGACAAACCATACAGCCGGTGAAGGGGAGACACTTAAGTTGCTCCCCTAAAATACAAACTGTGCTGTTCACAACAGTAGAACTCAACTTTTCCCAAGGCGTTGGCTTCCCATGAGCAATTGCTACAACTACAGCAAAGCGCTTGCGGCAATTACGTGTGCACCGTGCTCCCAGAGTGCGCAGCCCTGCTGTGGTTCAGTTGATGAACACAGCTGAGGGGTAGGCCAGCCCTGGCAAATGATTTTTGAGACTTTGCAGCAGCTCGTGCCTCACAGACAGAACATGCACTTCAGGCTGCAGAGCACGGCAGACCTTCAACTCATGCAGATTTTCCCATTCTCTTCCTTGCGAGTTATCGCAGTTCGTCACAGTGATTTACACCATGGATGAAGCAGTCGCTGGTAAGTTATGGCAGGGGGGGGGGGGGGGGGG